CAGTTTGGAGGGATATGTTGTGTATCTCTATATGTATATGCTTCTAAACTTCTAAACTGTTATATTCTGAGCACCTCTGCAAAAGCAGTGATAATGTGTGAGTGTGGTGAAAGTGTTGAATGATGATGAAAGTATTTCTTTTTGGGGATTTTCTTTTTTTTTTTTTGGGTCCCCTGCCTCGGTGGAGACGCCCCGACTTGTTGAAAAAAAAAAAAAAAAAAAAAAAATGTCAAGGTATACAGTCCACGACATCAGTGACAATTACTGTATAAAAAGCGCTTGAAGCAAGTCATTTCAAGAAAATTAGGCTGTCCCAGGATAACACCCACACAAGTGGGCAAACACCGGGTACACATTTACTGAGGGGTAAACATAACAACAATTTAAAATAAACACACGAAATTTTTTCAAAACCCGGGCTGGGAATCAATATTTCCCAAAAAATCATATATGGCTAACCCAAGCCGGACTAAAATAAGCCACGGACTTTTTTTGGTTTCCAGTTCTCTAAACACATGCTGCAACCCCGGGTAACATAATGGACCCCCAGGTTTTCGCAAGCCTCGGATCCTAAACCGGTATCCAAAGCAATAGCAAAAACTTGCTTTCCCTTAACAAAAACCCGGTAGGGCATAAATTTCCGAACGTGCCCGATCCCTGTGCCCGTGTGGCATGTTTACAAGCAGCCTTGGAGCCACAAGGGGATACATTCAGAAAAATTCCACAAACCATTTATCACTTTTTTGGTGCTTGTTTCTGCAAAATAAGTCACCATGGCCCCAAGAAACTTCAGTGCCAACCCATCGAGCCCAAGGGTTTGCTAATGCCATTGAAATGAAAAAAAGAGTAATTGCAAAGTATGAAAGGGGATGCATGTGTCGGAGCTGGCCAAGTTGTATAGTAAATCCCAATCAACCATCTCTACTATAGGGCGGGAAAAACGGCAAAAAAGGGAACTGTTCTTAAAAAAGGTGCAACTGTGATTACGAACAGCGACCGCAATGAAGAAAAGTTGAAGACTGTTATTTGGGGATAAATAAAAAAACAATAGCGGGAGATAGCACTCTCAAGCAATCATTTGGAAAAGGCTAGGCAGTTGCATGACAAATTTGGTAAAGAAATCCCTCGCTAGTGGTGATGTGAGTAAATTTTTAAGGGCCAGAAAAGGGTTTGGTTTGAAAGATTAAGAATCAAGTGGCATCATAGTGTGATTAGCATGGTGGGGCTACCAGTTCAGACCACAAAGCAGCTGAAAAAATGTCATAAATTCAAGGAGTACATAGGGGTGAAGTTTAAAAACCTGAAAAAGTGCTTAATTGTGACAAAACGGGCCTTTTTTGGAAGAAATTGCCAAGCAGACCTACTTTATCAAGGGGAAAAAAGGCACTCCCAGACATAAGCCTATGAAAAACGGGCTTACTCTTCTGATGTTGCCAAGCTATGGTGATTGCAAATTTGAAACCTTTATTGGTGTACACTCGGGAACTCCCAGACTTTCAGCAAAAGAATATCCTCAGGCTAATTTGTGTGTGCTGTGAGGGAAAACAAAAGGGCGGGGTCACAGTGACTTTTTTCATCGGTTACCCCATGCTTTTGCCCCCAAGGGAAAAATTACCAATTGAAAAAAAAAACCCCCTTAAGTGCCTCGGTTTTAAAGACAATGCCCCGGTCACCCAGCTTGGCAGGCAATTTTGTGGGGATATGAGTTTCCTTTAAAGGTCAATTTTTGCCCCAATACCACTCCCTCCGCAGCCCAGGGACCACAGGTCATTTCCAACTTCAAGAAACTGTACACAAAAGCTATGTTTTAAAAGTGCTTGAAGTGACCACAGATCTTATTGACCTAAAAAGGGTTTTTGGGAAGATCACTTTAATATCCCATTGTGTAAACCTTAAAGGGAAGGCTTAGAGGGAGTGACAAGAAGACCTTTAACTCTCCTGGGAAAAAAAGTGGCCAGAATGTGTGACAAAAAGGGGGTTTTTAAGGGTTTGAGGGAACTCTGAAATATATGCCCCTTGGGAATCCATTGTGGCATTGGGAAATCCTTGAGTTTGGGGTTGTGGGGAGGGTGGGAAGAGTTGGGGAAGAGGACAATGACGAACAACCACGATGACTGCTAGACATCTCAACACAAGAGGCCAATCGAGGAAGCTTCGGAGGGAAAGAAAATTGACGAAGTTTCCCACTTTAAAGATTAAGGAAATGGGGGCAAAGTGGCTTGAAGTGCAAATTTTTTGATGAAAATCACCCTGACCAGCTACTGCAAGCCGTGTTTGGAACCTGACAAAGACAGTGTTTTTTGGAAAAACTTTAAGAAAGTCATAAAGAACGAGAGTACAGGCCTCTAGGACAGATATTTGTGCACAGAATCCAGGGCTCTGAACTGGTCCCCAGTGGCATTAAAAAAAAAGGGGGGTAACCCCGGAAAAGGACTTGCTACCTCAAATCCTAAAGGGGGAGTAATTTCCCTCTAAAAATTAAAAACTTCGGCACCTCTCCTCCCCCATCCCCCCAATCATCACCAATTCATTAAAGGGAAGTGTCAATTATTCTATTAGATTATACAAATTTTTATTTTTATTTTAATTATTATATTGCATTAAACTTAATATTTTATGTGGTAAGTTTTTTTTTCATACTTTTGAGTGTCTTTTATATTAATTTTATTTCCATTATTTCTTTGGGGAAAATGATTCGCTTTCCCGATAATTTGGTTTTTCGATGAGCTCTCAGGGAAAAATTTAAAAAACGTGAACCGGGGTCCAGAATAGGAAAATAACTTTTTTTGTTTCAGGGTTAGGTGCATAAAGATGTATATCACATTGTCCGTGCTACACTCTGTTTTTTCAATATAAACCCCAAGACGGGAAGGGGAAAGGTATTTGATACCAATCCCTTCATACCCCCACGAACTGCTCAGTATTTTGCCAAATTTATTTAAAAATTTTTTTTTATTTATTTGTTTTTTTATTCATATTAGATCAATGGATAGGCAAATAGCTGTATGTTGATATTACGAAAAAATAAAGCTAATCTCCTGCATCATGAACTGAGCTCAGACAACCGACAGTGGGGCAAACCACCTTATCTTTAATGGAAATGTCTGGTTGGTGCTTTACAAATGAGAAACATTTCTTTTATTTATTGGGAAACCCTGGGTAGGCTAAATGGAGAAAAAGAAATTGGAATGACTTATGCACAAATAGCCCACCAAACATACCACAGGTTGGGGTGGGGACCCGGAAATTTGAAATTAAGCTAGCCAAAATTTGGCAGAAAAACTGAAGGAACCGAAAAACGATTGCCGGGTTTTGATGGTGGACCTTACCTCTTTACATCCATTTCACCAATCGCCTTTTTCCCCCCCGCACCCCCTTTCCTGTAACCACAAACTTTTTCTGAAAACTCAAAAAAACATTTTTAAACCTACCCCATACATCTTCGACCCCACGCTATCTCCCACTACCCCCCTATCCTCCAAAAGTTGTTTTTTATCTTACCCTAACGCCTCCTCTTTTTTGTTTATAAAATTCACCCCACCTTTCTTGAAAACTTCATTTCCTTGTATCCCCTCACCTTTTACTCTCACGTAGCTACAACTAAAAAGTGATCTGATATATCTGTGGCTCCTCTATAAACATGTACATCCTGAAGTCTACTCAACAGTCTTTTATCTACCAATACATAGTCCAACAAACTACAGTGGACCCTCGGGTAACGATGACATCGGCTAGTGATAAAATCAGATATCGATGCGTCTTTGCGTAAAAATATTTGCTCGGCCAGCGATGAAAAACTCGGTTAGGGACATTCGTCCTGAACGCATCTGCCTGTCTGTCCGGCCTGAGTGCCTCAGCTGCCCTGCATTCAGCTAGTGTGCCATTGTTTACAAGCCAGGGCGGACGGTTCCACACATACATTCGATACATTATGTATTATTCCATTGTTTTTAGTGCTTGTAACTGCTAAATAAGCCACCATGGTCCCAAAGAAAGCTTCTAGTGCCAACCCTGTGGTAAAAAGGGTGAGAAATACCATCGTACCACGGTCAGCTGCTGCTGCACCACTGTCAGCTGCTGCTGCGCCACTGTCAGCTGCTGCTGCATCACCATCAGCTGTTGCTGCACCACCATCAACTGCTGCTGCACCACTGTCAGCTGCTCCTTTACCATGGTCAGCTGCTGCTGCACCACCATCTGCTGCTGCTGCTGTACCACCGTCAGCTGCTGTTGCACCACCGTCAGCTGTACTACTCGAAGATGTGGAGTGTGTGTTGTTGGTGTGGCTTAACGAGAAACAATTATATGTACCGAGAAACAATTAACCCCAGAGGGTTAGCCACCCAGGATAACCCAAGAAAGCCAGTGCGTCATCGAGGACTGTCTAACTTATTTCCATTGGGGTCCTTAAACTTGTCCCCCAGGATGCGACCCACACCAGTCGACTAACACCCAGGTGAACAGGAAAAAATGCCTGGAACTAGTGCTCATATTGGTGAATTTAAAGCCAGCAAAGGTTAGTTTGAGAGATTTAAGAATCGTAGTGGCATACACAGTGTGATCAGGCATGGCAAAGCAGAAAAATTCCAACCCCAACAAGTGTTCAATTGTGACAAAACAGGCCTGTTCTGGAAGAAAATGGCAAACAGGACCTACATTACTCAGGAGGAAAAGGCACTCCTAGGACCCAAGCCTATGACAGACAGGATAACTCTCATGTTTTGTTGTAATGCTAGTGGGGATTGCATGTATCACTCTGAAAATCCCAGAGTTTTCAAGAAAAAGTGTCTCACCGCTCATCAATAAAGGTAAGTGTCATTTTAGTATTTATTTATGTATTTAGTGTGCATGTCTCATTGTTTTCTGTGTAGGGAAATGTATATTTAATGTAAAAAAAATTTTTTTTTTAATACTTTTGGTTGTCTTGAACGGATTAATTGGATTTCCATTATTTCTTATGGGGAAAATTAATTCGGCTAACAATATAATCACTTAAGGACAAGCTCTCTGGAACAGATTAAAATCGTTACCCAAGGGTCCACTATACTGTCATTACGCCCTACATCACATCTTGTATACTTATTTATCGTCTTTTTCTCAAAATATGTATTACCTATAACTAAACCCCTTTCTATACAAAGTTCAATCAAATGGCTCCCATTTCAATTTGCATCTGGCACCCCAAACTTACCTACCATACCATCTCTAAATGTTTCTCCTACTTTAGCATTTAGGTCCCCTACCACAATTATTCTCTCACTTGGTTCAATGGTTCCAATACATTTACTTAACATCTCCCAAAATCTCTCTCTCTCCTCTACACTCTTCTCCAGGTGCATACACGCTTATTATGACCCACTTTTCACATCCAACCCTTATTTTAACCCTTAAATAGTCCAAACATATACATATGTACATATCTCTTGTGCAGTGCCCCGAATATTCACAAAAAAAAAAAAAAAAAAAAAAAAAAAAAAAAAAAAAAAAAAAAAAAAAAGGCACATTTTTGAAGTGTTTTAGAATAAAAAAATTAGGGTCAGTACTTACAGAGATATGAGGTTGAGAAGTTGGCACTGGATGCTCACATGATGGCAGCATCGAGTCCTGCCACTTGCAAAAATGTTGCTGATATACCTTTTTTTCTTATTTTATATAATTTTTATGTTCTGATAATTACAATTCATAGCAGTTCTTGTCATTTGATAATCATTCTTTGTTCTGACACTAGTATTAGGTACTGAAATTGTACTCAAATTGTCACAAACACAATGACAGGTGGACATTTACACCTACCTTGGTCTTGGAATATATACAAAGTGTTTATATGTCCCAGCAATGTTTTGGATATGTGGAAGTGGAAGTGGAGGGAGGAAGGGAGGGAGGAGGAGGAGATAATAAGAAGTTCCCTAAAGGTGAGTGTAAAACGGAAACCTGTAATTGTTTTACATGATGGTAGGCTTGCTGGTGTCTTTTTTGTCTCATAAACATGCAAAGTTTCAGGTACGTCTTGCTACTTCTACTTACACTTAGGTCACACTACACATACATGTACAAGCACATATATACACACACCCCTCTGGTTTTTTTTTTTCTATTTTCTTTCTAGTTCTTGTTCTTGTTTATTTCCTCTTATCTCCATGGGGAAGTGTAACAGAATTCTTCCTCTGTAAGCTATGCCTGTTGTAAGAGGCGACTAAAACGCCAGGAGCAAGGTGCTAGTAACCCCTTCTCCTGTATAAATTACTAGATTTAGAAAGAGAAACTTTTATTTCTCTTTTTGGGCCACCCTGCCTTGGTGGGATACGGCCGGTTGGAAAAAAAAAAACATGCAAGATTTCAGGTACGTCTTGCTACTTCTACATACACTTAGGTCACACTATACATACATGTACAAGCATATATATACACAACCCTCTGGGTTTTCTTCTATTTTCTTTCTGGTTCTTGTTCTTGTTTATTTCCTCTTATCTTCATGGGGAAGTGGAACAGAATTCTTCCTCCATAAGCCATGCGTGTTGTAAGAGGCAACTAAAATGCCGGGAGCAAGGGGCTAGTAACCCCTTCTTCTGTATAAATTACTAAATTTAAAGAGAGAAACTTTCGTTTTTTCTTTTTGGGCCACCCTGCCTTGGTGGGATAAGGCCAGTTTGTTGAAAAAAAAAAAAAGTTCCCTTGAAGCACGAAAAACAAAGTCCACCCCTGACATAGACATGATAAGATGAGATAACATTTGATAAGAGGTGATGATTGATGATCATACAGAGGGTGCAGTGATAACACTTGATAAGAAAAGATTAGAGGTGACATCTGATGAGCATCGGCCCTCCTTGTTTTCGCTGGTACACAAACATGTCTGTCTGTCTGTTTGTCTGTCAAGCTCCCTGTCTGTCTATCCGTCTACCTCTCCACAAGACTGTGTCATCACGTTTACTCACATCTTCAAGCAGAGTATAGCACTTTGTCTGGATTTTTTGGGTTATCCTAGGTAATTTACACTATGTATACTTATATATATGTGTAAGTGTAAGACAGAGATAGACAGACTGAAAGAGATAGACAGATAGACAAAGACAGACAGACAGATAGACAGAGACAGACAGATAGACAGAGATAGACAGACCCTAAACTTGGGGTTAACATTACTTTCCATTTAAAAGAGAAGTGTTAATATGACATTACATCAGAGAATCCTTGGTGTTTGCCACCCTGTTTGCTCTAGCTGGCGCTCAATTTAACTGGCACTCCCACAAGGTGCTAAGTGGTCCCAGAATTTTTTAATATGGTGCATAACGAGTGTTAAGACCTATTCTATGCTGACCAGGCATCTCAGGGCAATCGTGCCAAATTTGGAGGCAGGAAAATTAAAACGTATATGTACGTTTGGGGCGCTATGTGTAAGAACGTATATAAATGTTTGGACCGTTTAGGGGTTAATCCACATAATCCTTGAATATTATTATTATTATCCACATAATTATAATTATTATTATCCATATAATCCTGTATATTATTACTACAATAATTCCTAAGAAACAATCATTTTTTCTTACCTGAAGAGAGACACCAACAACAGATGGGTCAGGAGGCATCATCACTTCAAGCAAGAAAGGCTTGACCGAACCTAAGCGTAAGATTTTGATGTGAAGAATAATCTCTTCAAGGCGACTTCTTTGGATTTCTGGCAGGGGATACTCATCCAGAGCTTGTTCTCGAGCACGTGTGAACAAATGGTAACAAATACCTGCCTGCACACTGGGATAAAAAAAAAAAAAAAAAAAAAAAAACTGCACAGTTATTTTGCTTAAATATACTTATATACTATACTTGAATTTGAATTTTCTACACCTTTACTGATATAGCTGTTTAAAGAGAGATTAATTTTACTATTAAAATACAGTACAATTTTTTTTTTCAACAAGTTGGCCGTCTCCCACCGAGGCAGGGTGAACCAAAAAGAAAAAACTTTCATCATTCAACACTTTCACCTCACTCATCCATAATAACTGTTTTTACAGAGGCACCCAGATACAACAGTTTAGAAACACATATAAAGATACATAACATATCCTGCCAAACTGTCAATATCCCAAACCCCTCCTTTAAAGTGCAGGCATTGTACTTCCCATTTCCAGTACTCAAGTCCGACTATATAAAAATAACCGGTTTCCCTGAATTTTTTTTTTTTTTTTTTTCAACAAGTCGGCCGTCTCCCACCGAGGCAGGGTGACCCAAAAAAGAAAGAAAATCCCCAAAAAGAAAATACTTTCATCATCATTCAACACTTTCACCACACTCACACATTATCACTGTTTTTGCAGAGGTGCTCAGAATACAACAGTCTAGAAGCATACACATATAAAGATACACAACATACCCCTCCAAACTGCCAATATCCCAAACCCAAATCCCTTCACTAAATATTACCCTCCTTACACTCCAACAGCTTGTCAAGTCCCAAAAGCCATTCATCTCCACTCACTCCTATCTAACACGCTCACGCATGCTTGCTGGAAGTCCAAGCCCCTCGCCCACAAAACCTCCTTTACGACCTCCCTCCAACCTTTTCGAGGACGACCCCTACCCCGCCTTCCTTCCCCTACAGATTTATACGCTCTCCATGTCATTCTACTTTGATCCATTCTTTCTAAATGACCAAACCACCTGAACAACTGCCTCCTCGCTGCAGCATTTACAACCCAAGCTTCACACCCATATAAGAGTGTTGGTACCACTATACTTTCATACATTCCCTTCTTTGCCTCCACAGATAACAATTTTTCTCTCCACATATACCTCAATGCACCACTCACCTTTTTATCTTCATCAATTCTATGGTTAACCTCATCCTTCAGAAACCCATCCACTGACATGTCAACTGTCAAATATCTGAAAACATTCACTTCTTCCATGCTCCCTCTCTCCAATGTGATATCTAATTTTTCTTTATCTAAATCACTTGATACCCTCATCACCTTACTCTGATCTATGTTCACTTTCAACTTTCTACATTTACACAATATAGAATTTAAAACATAATTCAGAAATGTGTGTATTTTTTATATACAGTAGACTGTCGGATAGCACACCATCTGTTAACATATTTTCGCTCCAAAACTGTTTCAAAGTTGCGACAAATTTTCAGTGAACGTGCCATGAAAAATCAGTTTACTCGAAGTACATGTAGGGGAAAATGTGACACACAATGTGTTCCTCACAGTGAGCCTCAGCACAAGTCCATAATATACATAACCTTCCTCACCACACTCAGCCTGTGTTAGATAATTAACTGTTGATCTTTTCATCGTCCTACCTCATGTCTTGATAGTAACAATGACACCCAAGAGGAATGAGAATGATCCTGAAACTGTAAAGAAGAATAAGCGTGAAATTATGGCGTTTCAAAGAAAATCGAGATTAAGAGCGTAAGAGTGGTGAACGTGTGATGGAGACAGTATGAGCCTAAGGTCTGAATGAGGCATCAATTCATACGATTAAGAAGAATGAGACAAAGATATGACAAACAGGTCAGAACAGTTAAATAAGGTGGAAAAGCTGAGTGAGTGGACTGAGCAAAAAACCAAGAAAGGTGCACCACTTATTTCATTTTTTTTTTTTAACAAGTCGGTCGTCTCCCACCGAAGCAGGGTGACCCAAAAAGAAAGAAAATCCCCAAAAAGAAAATACTTTTATCATCATTCAACACTTTCACCTCACTCACACATAATCACTGTTTTTGCAGAGGTACTCAGAATACAACAGTTTAGAAGTATATACGTATAAAGATACACAACATATCCCTCCAAACTGCCATATTAAGAAAAAGCCTCACAGCAATAAAAAACTGTGTGATGAAGGAAGATCTGAATAAGAGTGCTTGTTTAGCATATGGTCATTCCACAAATTCCAGTTGCACAGTTGCTTGGATGATATTAAGTTTTTCATTGAAAGAGTTTCTACTGACCACATTGCTGCTGGGAATTTCCCTGCTGAGTTACATGAAATTATTTCTAAGGGTGACTATGAGCCACAACAAGTGTTTAATGTTGATAATAAGTGTTTATTGGAAGATGCTAGCACGAACTTACATCAGTTTGTAAGAGAAAAGTTCACCAGGATTCAAGGCAACAAAGGATTGCTTCGGTTTGCTCTTTGCAGTAATGCATCAGGCAATTTCCAGTGTTAGCCCGCTCTAAGATTCCCGTCTTTGAAAGGTGTGGATAAAACTACCTTACCAGTTCTTCAGAGGTCAAATCAGTCAGCACTGATGACAGAGGAATTATTTATTGACTGGTTTAAGGATCACTTTGTTCTCAAAGCAGCAAGATCCTTGCACTCACGGTTCTCCTCAGTCTTAATAATTTCTGAACTCATCTGGAAACTTTGTTGGATGTGCATCCACATATTTTTACTTCCAAATACAACATCCTTAATACAACCACTGGATCACAGAATTATTAGGACATTCAAATGTAACTACACATGAAAAGTGATGCAGAAACATGTTGCATCAATGGATGCTGACCCTGAGCTTGGAGTAAAAGACTTTAGGAATAAATTTTACAGTGCAGATGTCATGAGCTATATTAGAAATGTATGAAACTAAGTGTCCCAAACAACATTAAATGCAGGCTAGGGAAAGTTATGACCTAGTTTGGCGAATATTATCACAAGTTTTTCTTCAGTTGAGAGCCAGGTGCAGGAAATTATTCTGTTGGCTAGGAGATTGCCAGGTGAGGGACTTTGAAGATATGCAGGAAGATGTGAATGAATTGTTAGACAATGATGATAATGACGAAAGAAGTCCATAGGAATTGTTGGAAGATCTCAATGCCCAGATACAAGGGAGGCAGATAACAGAAGAAGATGAGGAAGAAATTGAAGAAAAACAATTAACACTGCAACAGATACGTGAGCAGTTCCATGTTACTGCCAAACGGCAAATTTTTTCACTAAATAGGACCCTCACAAATCTAGAAGCACTGCACTGAAACAGGGTCTAGCGCCGTTGATGATAGCGTACTGTCTGCTGTATAAAGTACTGTAGGGTAAAGAGACCACAGATGCATTGCAGAATTTCTCAGTACTCCAGTGCAACTATCAACAACAGCGCAAGAGCCTCAACTATCTACTTCAGTTAACGATCCCCATCCTTCCATCTCAGCCCAGTAAGGCAACAACATCCCTCTCCACATCTATCAAAATCATCGACATGCACCAGCAACCAGAAATTAAGGTAAGAAGTAATATCTATGCAATCTCTGAAGCAAGTTTTTTACAATTTTAGGGACTTGAAAAAAATTTGGTTGGCTTTTTTGGGACTCCAATAAATGTAACCCTATTTTTCCCACAGGTTCTTCAGTTCAATTTGCATGATTTTTTTTATTACATACTGTGTTCAGGAACATGACTACCAGGTTATCCAACAGTCAACTGCATAATCTACATTGAAGTTTTAATACAAGCTGTATTAAAGGTAGAAATCTAATTACAGATACCTTGATCTCTTGAAAATAATATTACTTCATATATAACATTAAAATCTGCTATACTCACCGTCCTGCTCGACCTCGACGTTGCCTAGCATTGGCAAGAGTGACCCATTGAGGTAACAAAGTTGTCACATTAGCCTCCTTGTCATAATTTTTCATTTTAATAAACCCACCATCAACAACATACACAATGTCGTCTATTGTTATACTTGTTTCAGCAATATTTGTTGCCAAGACTATTTTGCGCACACCTGCAAACACAAATGACGCTTAGTAACAGCAGGTAAACAAACTTAATTATTACTTCAACTAACAGGACCCATGATCAGTATGTCTTTCTCACTTTTACCAAAAAGCTCCTTATTTAATGGGCTTTGGAAATACGAAACAAAAGCCGGCGGGTCAACAGATTTGGAAACAATGGACAAAGCCCTTTGGTCTCAGAACTGCTCATTACTGTTACAATCATAGCAAGGTAATCTTTTCTCTATCCACCACAACTTCCATTGCTGACCACCCACCTCCCCCTCCCCCCAATTAGCTTGTTCAATAGAGGGTTTACTATATATAGTATTTTTTATTATTAAGACATCGGACGTTTCCCACCAAGGTAGGGTGGCCCAAAAAAGGAAAAATTTTCACCATCATTCACTCCATTACTGTCTTGTCAGAGGCACACTTACACTACAGTTATAAAATTGCAACATTAACACCCCTCCTTCAGAGTGTAGGCACTGTACTTCCCATCTCCAGGACTCAAGTCTGGCATGCCAGTTTCCCTGAATCACTTCATAAATATTACCCTACTCACACTCCAACAGCATGTCAAGTCCTAAAAACCATTTGTCTCCATTCACTCCTATCAAATATGCTCACGCACGCTTGCTGGAAGCACAAGCCCCTCGCACACAAAACCTCCTTTACCCCCTCCCTCCAACCTTTCTTGGGCCAACCCCTATCCTGCATTCCCTCCGCTAGATTTATACACTCTCATAGTCATTCTGTTTCGTTCCATTCTCTCTATATGTCCAAACCACCTCAACAACCCTTCCTCAGCCCCCTGCACAACAGTTTTGGCAATTCCACACCTCCTCCTAATTTCCAAACTATGAATTTTCTGCATTATATTCACACCACACATGCCCTCAGACACAACATCTCCACTGCCTCCAGCCTTCTCCTTGTTGCAACATTCACCACCCATGCTTCACACCCATATAAGAGTGTTGATATAACTATACTCTCATACATTCCTCTCTTTACTTCTATGGATAAAGTTCTTTGTCTTCACAGACTTCTCAGTGCACCACTCACCATTTCCCCTTGTCAATTCTATGATTCACCACATCTTTCATAGACCCATCTGCTGACACATTCACTAGTAAATATCTGAATACATTTACCTCCTAAATACTCTCTCCCTTCAATATGATATCCAATCTTCCGTTTGCTAATTTTTTTGTTATTCTCATCACCTTACTCTTCATTATATTCACTTTTAATTTTCTTCTTTTACGTACCCTACCAAACTTGTCTACAAACCTCTGCAACATCTCTTCAGAATCTCCCAAAAGTAGAGTGTCATCAGCAAAGAGCAACTGTGACAACTCCCACTTTGTGTTAGATTCTTTATTTTTTTTACCCAACACCTCTTGCCAATACCCGAGCAATCACTTTTCTTACAACCCCATCTATAAATATATTGAACAACCATGGTGGCATCATACATCTTTGTCTAAGGCCTACTTTTATTTGGAAATAATCTCCCTCTCTTCTACATACTCTAACCTGAGCCTCACTATCCTCGTAAAAATTCTTCACTGCTTTCAATAACCCACCTCCTATTCCATACATTTGGAACATCTGCCACACTGCCCCCTTATCCACCCTGTCACATTTATTTTTAACCCTTTGAGGGTTTCGGACGTACTAGTACGGCTTACGACCTAGGGTTTTTGACGTACTAGTACGCCTAAATTCTAGCGCCCTCAAATCTAGTGGAGAAAGCTGGTAGGCCTCCATATGAAAGAATGGGTCTATGTAGTCAGTGTGCACGGTATAAAAAAAATCCTGCAGCACACAGTGCATAATGAGAAAAAAAAAACTTTGACCGTTTTTTTGGAATAAAACAGCGGCTTTGCACTGTATTTTCGTATGGTATTTATTGTTATATTCTAGTTTTCCTGGTCTCATTTTATAGAATGGAAGACATATCATAGAAATTGAGATGATTTTGACTGGTTTTACAATGAAAAGTACATTGAAATTGAGCTCAAAATAGCAGAAACATTCGATTTTTACCAAAGTTCAAAGTAAACAAATCATGCCAAGCGTCCAATACACGTCAACTGGTGAGTCTAATATTCTTTTGCAAGTGCGCCAATATGATTCATACCATTTTTACACTAATGCAGTAGTCTGCATAACAGTAAATCTTCTATTTTTTGTGAGAATAAAAATTCGAAGTGGAAAGCAAAAGAATGTAAGAGGGGCCCTTGAGACATTACTAATGAACAGAGGAAATGTCATTTTAGTTCCAGGAATGTATTTCTTGTTTGTTCTGGACCCTATTCAGAAATTGGCATCTTTTGAAATTTGTGTGAAATTGGAAAAATTGCTAAATTCTGACCACTGTACTGGATAGTTGAAATTGGTAAATGGGTGGTTTCTTGCACTCATTCAATAGAAAAAATGGAGTTCTAGCGAAATATTCATGTTTTTTGTCGACTAGTACAGTGGAACTGGCCGAAAATGGGGCTCAAAGTGGGCAAAATCACCGATCCGTAAACATCGCCGAGACCGCTAACTTCGCGAGAGCATAATTCCGTAAGTTTTCCATCAAATTTCATATTTTTGGTGTCATTATGATCGGGAAAAGATTCTCTATCTTTTCATAAGAAAAAATTATTTTTTTTTTTAAATTTGGCCGACCCTGAAACGAGTCTCAGAGAGGGCCTGTCGACCCTCAAAGGGTTAATTAAGTGTATGTAATTTAGTAGAACAATGCATATGGTGTCTTCATTAATACTGAGCCTATCACAAATTAAAATTTTCCAATAATAAAACTGTCCCAACGTAGATCTACGTTCACGTGTGTAGCGCTCCGACCTTGGTTTTTCCCATTTGAAAGCACGTAAAAAAACAAACGTAGATCTACGTTCGGAGCCCCCCGCACGTGGACGTAGATCTACGTTTGGACAGTTTAAGGGTTAATACTTCCTATTATGCCCTTCATAGTCCTACCATTATTTGTAATTAAAATATTACTATTTTTAGGCTAATTTCCTGAAATGTTTCCACTGCAAGACTTCACTCAAAACACTGTACTGTATAAAAAATGACACTGTACCAGAATTTAAGCTACTGTAATATGTAAACTAAAAATACATTAATCTATCACTTTATCCACAGTGCACTCTAAAATATGTTATGTACTTTTGGGATGAAGAAAAAGCCACTTTCTTGTAAAATTGGCAAATACATTGCTATCTAAATTATCACCTTAATTATAAGTTCTGACATATTAATTTAGTGCATTTTTATCTAATAATTATATACAGTGGACCCCCGCATAACGATCACCTCCGAATGCGACCAATTATGTAAGTGTATTTATGTAAGTGCGTTTGTACGTGTATGTTTGGGGGTCTGAAATGGACTAATCTACTTTACAATATTCCTTATGGGAACAAATTCGGTCAGTACTGGCACCTGAACATACTTCTGGAGTGAACAAATATCGTTAACCGGGGTCCACTGTATTTACAGTGGACCCCCACCCAACAGCATCATCAAGTAACGACAAATTCGTCTAATGGCACTCTTTGGCGTAAAAAAAATGGGTCTACCAATGATGAAAAACGCATCTAACAGCGTTCGTCTGGAACGTGTCCACGCGGAGGGAGCATGGCCCGAGCGGGCCCAGCGACTCCAAGACTCAGTGTGCTATTGTTTATAAGCTGTTGCGGTCGATTCCATGTGTACTTGCCATATATTTTGGATTATTCCAGTGTTTTTAGTGTTTATAACCACTAAATAAGCCACCATGGGCCCCAAGAAAGCTTCTAGTGCCAAGCCTGTGTTAAAAAGGGTGAGAATTATGATGGAAATGAAGAAAGAGAGAATTGAAAAATATGATAGTGGAGTGCATATGTCTCAGTTGGAAAGGCTATACAACTCCCATTCAACCATCAGTACTATCTTGGCCAACAGAAAGACAATCAAGGAAGCTGTTGTTGCAAAAGGTGCAAGTATGTTTTCAAAACGGAGACAGCAAATAATTGAGGAGGTAGAGAGAATGTTACTGGTATGGATAAGCAAAAAACAATTATCAGGAGATAGTGTTTCTCAGTCTATAATTTGTGAAAAGGCAAGGCAGTTGCATGATGATCTCATTAGGAAAATACCTCAAAATAGTGATGATACTGATGAATTTAAGGCCAGCAAAGGCTGGTTTGAAAGATTTAAGAATCGTAGTGGCATACACAGTGTGGTAAGGCATGGTGAGGCTGGCAGTTCAGACAAAAAAGCGGCTAAAAATATGTGAAGGACTTTAAGGAATACATAGAGACTGAAAACTTAAAACCTGAACGAGTGTTTAATTGTGATGAAACAGGCCTGTTTTGGAAGAAAATGCCAAACAGGACTTACATTACTCAGGAGGAAAAGGCACTCCCAGGACATAAGCCTATGAAAGACAGGCTGACAATGTTGTGTAGTAATGCTAGTGGTGATTGCAAAGTGAAGCCTTTATTGGTGTATCACTCTGAAACTCCCATTGTGTTCAGGAAAAACAGTATCATCAAGGGTAATTTGCGTGTGCTGTAGAGATCAAACAGTAAAGCATGGGTCACTAGGGAACTTTTCTTGGACTGGTTTTATGGTGTGTTTGGCCCCACTGTGACAAAATATTATCTCCAGGAAAAGAAATTGTCACTCAAGTACCTCCTGGTAATGGACAATGCTCCTGCTCATCCTCACGGCTTGCAAGAGGAAATTGCAGGGGAGTTTGGTTTTGTTAAAGTGAAGTTTTTGCCTCCTAATACAACTTTTCTCCTCCAGCCCATTGACCAGCAGGTCATTTCGAACTCCAAAAAGCTCTACACAAAATCAGTGTTTCAAAAGTGCTTTGAAGTGACCTCAGACACTGAATGACCCTAAGAGAGTTTTGGAAAGATCACTTCAATATCCTCAGTTGCATAAACCTTATAGGTAAGGCTTGGGAAGGAGTGACTTGCAGGACTTTGAACTT